ACAGATCACTAATCCCAAGGCAGAGATTACTCGATTTGTGCCCACTGCACTGAGGGTATATCGGGAGAATAAAGGGGCTACTGCAACTCCCCAATGAAAGTCAGAGGATGATTCTGCTGTGCCTCTTGCCAAAGCAGCCCCCAAATCTGGTCCTTCTGACCCTATCTCAGTACAAACTAAGGATGTGTTTATGAAGCTTTCATGAAAGAAATGGAAGGGCCACTGTGACAGCTTTTGATGTCAGAACAGGCTTCTGTTCACCACAGTGGTTTGTGGAGCAAGAGGCTCTTATTAAACTTAGGTGAAAGAGCTACTTCCACTGTCAGGGTATTTTCTAATTTCAGTTCAAGGAAAATCCTAAAATATAGCCTTGTTCAGAATTTACTGCACATAAGAGGGTATTTCACTCAGAATAGATTGGCTATTGCAGCAGTGCTGCTAACATCCATTTCCTTTCACACTACCATCTTCGTCCAGTTTCTTCCCCTTCTCCAGTTCTTTGGAAATTTGTGATCAGGGGAGTGTTAGTTACTTATTTGTTTTGACTCTCTTCTTGTGTGCTGTGGGCACTGGAGTAGAGATTTCTGAAAACCCAGTTTATTTCATCTTGCCTTTTGTGTTTGAGTTATTTTTAATATTTTCCTGTAAATATTTTGTAATAATTTTACTTGTAGTGAAATGGATCACAATGTCATTTCCTAATACAAAGCAGGATATGTGGGAAGAAAATGTACAATTCTTTGATTAAAATTATTCCCCACAGATCTGAACTTTGAGTGTTTCATGGAAAAATAAATAAAATAAATGTTCTACACCAAGAAGAAAAATGTATGAAAAAAAGTTCAACATCCCTGACAATCAGGAAAATACAAAACAAAACTACACTGAGAGTTCACCCCGAACTAGGTTAGAATAGTAATTATCAAGAATACAACTAACAAATTCTGGTAAGGATGTGGAAGGAAAGGTACACTCATACACTGTGGGTGAGATTACAAGTTAGTACAATCACTTTGGAAAGCAGTTTGGAGATTCCTCAAAAGACTAGAAATAGAACCATCCTATGATCCACCAATCCAATTCCTAAATATTTATCCAACAGAACTAAAATCAGCATACTACAGTGAGGTAGGCATATCAATGTTTATAGTAGCACAATTCACAATAGCCAACTTATGAGACCAGCCCAGGTGCCAACAACAAATGAACTGATTAAGAAAATGTGGTATATATACACAAGAGAGTTTTATCAGCCATAAAGAAGAATGAAATTATGGTACTTAATGGTAAATGGATGGAAATGGAGAGCATCATGCTAAGCAAAATAAGCCAAACTCAGTCAATGGTCAAATGTTTTCTCTCATATGCAGAATACAGAGCAAAGTAAGGGGAGAAAGTGGTCGGGGCAGTGAGTTCCATGAAAATAGAGGGAATATCAGTGGAGGAGGAGAAGGAGATTGAGAGGTGGGGATGAGGAACCAGAAAGTAGAAGAAATGTGGAATGAAACTGATAAAATTATGCTATATACATATATGAGTGTACCACCGTGAATTCCAACTAGATGTGTATCTAAAAATTTCACCTGTATGTGTATCAATTTTTAAAGAAAATAATTTAACAGAAGGAAGCCCAGCAGAGTAGAGGAAAGGAAATGGAGGGTAAAAGGGAAGGAAAGAGGAAGCACTGAGAACTAAAATGGAGAAAATTATATTACATGCAGGTATGATTGTGTCAAAATGAACCCCACTATTTTGTATAACTAATACAAACATTTAATAAAGAAAATAAAAGGTGAAAGGAAAGAATATATATTGAGAAATAGCCAGGAGTCTCTCTTATCTCCTCCAGTACTTTCTGCTCTTCATATTCTACTGTATTTTCTTCATACTATTTATTAAACTCTGATAGACAGCTGACCCACAGTATCTGTAAGGTACTGGATTCAGGATACAAAGATGATAACAAAATTCACAGATGGCCAAATTCTTTTTTGGGGGGTAGGGGGAGTGTACCAGGGATTGAATTCAGGGGCACGTGACCGCTGAGCCACATTCCCAGCCCTATTTTGTATTTTATTTAGAGGTAAGGTTTCACTGAGTTGCTTAGCGCCTCACTTTTGCTGAGGCTTGTTTTGAACTCCTGATCCTCCTGTCTCAGCATCCCAAGCTGCTTGGATTACAGGTACTTACCATCTCACCCAGCCCATATCCTTTATATAAAATGCAAACAACATTACACTTATCTTCTTGTATGCTTTCAATCATCTTTAGATGATTGTTAAACTATATCGTTTAGTTAATAATGTCCAGGGGGGAAAAATCTGTATATATTCAGTACAGACACAACATTTTTACCAATATTCTCCTTCCCTCTTTGGTTGAGTCCACCAATTCTGGACTTGTGTATATGAGAAGTGACTGTATTTCTATTTTGTGCTAACTGAAAGTTTCAAGAGGAAATGAATTATGTCTTATGTAAAGTTCTGGATCCATTTCTGGAAAAGTACCTAGAGAACAGAAGGAATTTTTAAAATATTTTATCAATGAGAAAATGAATTGTTAATTTCAGGGTGAAAGAAGGCTAAGAAAATGAACTTACTTATAAAATCCACTCTAAAAAATCCTGAAGCACCTCCATCAGAATTACTACTTTTAAAAAGTCTTTTTTTTTAAAGAGAGAGAGAAAGAGAGAATTTTTTAATATTTATTTTTTAGATTTCGGTGACACAACATCTTTATTTTATTTTTATGTGGTGCTGAGGATCGAACCCAGCGCCCTGCGCATGCCAGGCGAGCACACTACCACTTGAGCCATGCCGCAAATCAGCTGGGCACAGAATCACACCACTCAAGCAGGAACAAAACTTTATTTTTGAAAATGCCACCAATACCCCATAGGCGTCAGGCCAGCAAGCCGGTCCACCCACTCGGTCACTTCTCCCGGAAGGAGGCCAGCACCTCCCCGGAAAACCCTCCTACTATCCTTCCCCAACCAATGGGAACTCTCCAGGAGTCCGTTCCAAAGCAGGCCAAGGTGAACAGCAGGAGTCCAATTTCCATATGAATGTAAATCTTCTCAATGGCTAGCTGGCATCACCTTACAACCAAAGGTGCCATGCATCATAATACTTTGCTGTGGCTCCTAGCAGAGCCACATCCCCGGCCCTAAAGAAGTCTTATCAATAACATGAAGAGAGAGCCTACAGAATGGAAGATTACCACTCCAATCTCATATACAGCAGTGATATCTAGGATATATAAAGAATTCAAAAAACTTAACACCCCCCCAAAAAAAACCCCAAATAACCCAATCAATAAATGGGCTAAGAAACTGAGCAGGCACTTCACAGAAGAAGATATACAACTGATCAACAAATATATGAAAAAAAAAAGTTCAACATGTTTAGCAAAGAGAAATACAATTTAAAACTACTCTAAGATTTCATCTCACTACAATCAGAATGGCAAATATTAAGAATATAAGCAACAATAAGTGTTGGCAAGGATGTAGGGGAAAAGGTACACTCATACATTGCTGGTGGGACTGCAAATTGGTGCAACCACTCTAGAAAACAGTATGGAGATTCCTTAGAAACTTGGAACAGAACCAGCACTTGGCCCAGCTATCCCACTCCTCAGTTTATACCCAAAGGACTTAAAATCAGCATACTACAGTGATGCAGCCACATCCATGTTTATAGAAGCTCAATTCATAATAGCTAGACTATGCAACCAACCTAGATATCTTTCAACAGATGGACAAACAAACTGTAGAATATTACTCAGCCTTAAAGAAGAATGAAATTATGGCATTTGCAGGTAAATGGATGAAGTTGAAGAATATCATGCTAAGTGAAATAATCCAAAAATCCACAAAAATCCAAAGGCCAAATGTTTTCTGATTATGTGGATGCTGATCCATAATGGAGGAGTAGGGCTAGGGAAAAATGGAGGAATTTTGGATTGGGCAGAAGCGAGTGAGGGGAGGAGAGGGAGTGTAAGGGTGGGAAGAATGGTAGGAGAGGGACATCATTACCCTGTGTATATGTATGATTGCAGCACCGGTGTGACTGCATCATGTACAGCCAGAGAAATTAGAAATTGTGCTCCATTTGCATACAACGTATTGAAACGCATTCTGCTGTAATGTATAACTAATTAGAATAAATTTTTTAAAAAAGTCTTCCTTTCATAAGCACAGGTGGTAAGGTTGTAATAATCACAGCTTCATGATGTAAACAATGTTGCTTAAACATGTGCATAAAGTGACTACTAGCAAGAATAATGTAAATATTAATATAATGTATACTAATATAAGTTAAAAAGAAAATTAATTTTAATATGAACATTAATGAGAGAAACAGCTTTAAAATTGTTAAACCAAGATGGGGGGAGACCAATAATCAGAGGACCACCTGAGAAGTCAGCAGTTCTATTTCAAGTATTATAGAAATATTTTATTTCAATCTATGCAAGTTTAAATTTGAGTTTCATATGTCAGGTTCAGTGCACCCATTCTTTTGGCTCTTGGAAAGTTTAATTCAAACCTTTGGGAGCCTTCAAAGCCATGCTGGGCTGGCAAGTGGGATGGAGAATACCTTCAGTGAAGACAAGTTAAGACTCCCAGCTCTGCTCTCTGTCAAAAAAAAAAAAAAAAAAAACATGATTAAATGCAAAGCCTGCACATGCAGGCATCCATACAGCACCTTCCTGCTCATAGACAGGCGCTCTACCCGGAACGTTTACACAACAGCGCCCTGAGGAGGCGACAAACCAGAAGGTGAAACAAGCATGAACTCAGCTTTCAGCTACTCCAACATCAACTCTGACGTTTGGGGCACAAACCATGGAGGAAACAGAGGGGAAACCCTGAGTCAGGGCTGGCACCACACTCCTGCACACTGGCCCCAGGGATGCGCCTCCAGGGAGAGGGCGGAGCTGACCCTCCGAGTCCCGCCCCAGCCCACGCCCTCTAACTGTCCCTTCGCTGCGCCTTTCCAGTCAGGAAGCCGTACGAGGAGAGTGTCACGTCGGACGCCAGCTGGCTGCCTTCCCCAGCGCCCCACGCTGCGCCATGCTGCCCCTCCGAAGCGTCCTGGCCCGGGCTCTGACCTCGCGAACGCTCGCGCCTCAGGTATGGGCCTCCGGGTGGGCGCGCCCTTTGCCAGGCGCTGGGCTGGGATGGGTGAGCCCTGCGCATGCGTGCCACGCGGTCAGCTCTGTCGGCTGAGGGTCCGAGCCCGTGGAGGAGGGATCCTTGCGGGGCAGGGTCATTTACCCACCGGAGCGAGGCTTTCTCTGGCTTGGGAGCCTGACCGCCCCGAGGTCGCTCCCGAAGAGCTAGCGGTTGCGGCTTTGCCGCCAGCACCTTGGCAGCTGTGGCTCCGGGAGCACTCGCCACTTCGTGGCGGGGCCCAGGCGCCGTCGGCCTCGCGTAGGTGTGGGTTTGAAGAGCCTTCGCTCCGTCCACACTGAAGGTGCTGGAAGAGGACCACCAACAAGGGGTGGCTACCCTACCGGCCTTCTCCATTGTAACGAAGTGCACAGCTTGCGAGCCTTGGTGTAGGCCAGGGTCCCAGTGTGGGGCATCGTGCCCGCCCTCCCCGTGTCCTGCGGTGGTCCCCAAGCCCAGCAGGGACCTGAACCTGAAGACCCTCAAACGTGACCTGCTTCAGCCTTAGATGAGAAAGGTCCACAATGGAGCCAGGGATCAAGCCTGAACTGTGGGCACCTGCTTGTTCTGATTCATCCTAGGGAGTCTTTCCTTTCCATCTTGAGGCTTTTACTCCTTTCTCAGCCAGCAAGATGCTGGGTGTGGGCTTAGCCGCTTCTGGAGACAGACTTTCAGGAGAAGAGTAAGGAAGAGCCATTAATGGCCTTTCACCCCGTGTTAACAACGCAGTCTATTCTGTTCTCTCTAGTGGGGCAGGGCCAAGAATTATTTCTTTGCGACTTTTCTTTTTTACATTTCTAGCAGCATTTTCCTATAAGTGAATTCTTAGTAATTGCTCACAAGAATTAATCCTAACTTGGTGATTAAGGGAGGGTCAAATGGTGAAGATTTCTGCCCCAGCATATTTCTAACTAGCTTTGCAACAAAAAAACCCTACAAAATCTCTTCACTTCCTCACACATACACCCGTCTTTATCACTACTGTGTCCCTTCTGTGTATCCTCTCATTGAAAAATAATACAAATGCCCATTAGTCTACAGCTGATATATCTTACTTGTAATTTTTAGATTGTACATATTAGGTTATTGTTTATTCTATTAACATTATTATAATCTGGTTAAAATGTACAAAAAAAGAATATCTACCTGTGGCAGAGACTGCTGCGGTTGTTTTTGATAGAAAGCTTTGTCCTTTGGGCAATAGGAAAATAACTTAAGAGTTATGACAGTCATGAGTGGAATAAACTCAATTGAAATGATTATATTAAGTCTATACTCAACATACATATTGTAAATAAACATATATAAGAATAAATAAGAACAAAGCCTCCTGTTTCTCTAAACATGCAAGGTGGTCAGTGTAAGCACTAATTTGCCCATAGTTTTGTAGGTACCAAGTCTTCTTTAACAGATTTTTCTGGTATAATTACTTTGGAAATAGGCACCTACTAACCACACTTCATGAGTTTGTAAAATGGAATGCTATATAAGTATCTGTATGTGTGCATTTTTAATATACACATATACATACACAGATGATAATTCTGGCAAGTTATTACCTAGTAAAAAGTAAGTTCACTCAGAAATAGATTTAGAAATTTATATAGTGAGCATATAAATATTTTAACAAATTAATGGTTCTTAAAAAAAATAATTCCCATCAAACCAGTATAATTGGATGCATTGAATGCACTTTACATTGCATCTGTCTTAAGAACCTAATAATGATTCAGAAAATCCTGACTCCTTGAATTTATCTTTTTCAGCACTCATAAAGTCTATCACTATATTACAATTGAGTTAGATAGCACATAGTTTGCTAATGCTTACTTAAAATTCCAGTCTTATTTTTGGCCACTGGTTTATTTCATTTTATGTAGGAAATATTTTGACTTGAAGAGCAATTTCCATGTTTTAAGAAAATAAAAGTGGAATTTTCTATTAGTACTATATTTTAAAATAATTTTGCCTGCCAAAAGCCATGCATACTGAATTTATAAAGTTCTTTCAGATGCATAACTCTACAATATGCTATCAACTAAAAATCAAATATTGGCTGAATAAAGGAAAGCTCTTTCTAAATTTATGGGAATTCTAATTATAGTTCTCCAGTACAGGAATATCATTAAGACACCAATGCCTTCATATGAGCAACTTCTCATGAAACAAATGACTAAAGGTTGTAAACCCTTTCCAGGAAAGCAGCAGATATATATTCTGCGTGATTTTTATCTTTTTAAAATTTATTTTTTCTAACTAGACATGACAACAAAATGCATTTTGATTCATAGTACACAAATGGTGCACAATTGCACAATTTTTCATTTCTCTGGTTGTACACAAAATAGAATCACACCATTTGTGTCTTCATACATGTACCTGTAATGATGTCCATCTCATTCTACCATCTTTCCTACCCTTATGCCTCCTTCCTTCCCTACCACTCTTTGCCTTATTCAAAGTTATTCCATTCCTCCCATCCTGCCACCTCCCAACCCCCCMCACACACACCACGCATTATAGATCAGCATCCACTTATCTGAGAAAATATTGGTTTGAGGGGATTGGCTTCACTTAGCATGATATTCTTCAACTCCATCCATTTACCTGCAAATGCCATGATTTTATTCTCTCTTAACACTGAGTAGTATTCCATTGTGTATATATACCAACTTTCTTTATCCATTTATCTATTGAAGGGCATCTAGGTTGGTTCCTTAATTTAGTTATTGTGAATTGTGCTGCTATAAACATTGATGTGGCTGCGTCACTGTAGTATGTTGATTATCAGTCCTTTGGGTATAAACCCAGGAGTGGGATAGCTGGGTCAAATGATGGTTCCATTCTAAGTTTTCTAAGGAATCTCCATACTGCTTCCTAGATTGGTTGCAATACTTTGCAGTCCCACCAGCAATGTACGAGTGTGCCTTTTCCCCCACATCCTTACCAACACTTGTTACCTGTATTCTTAATAACTGGCATTCTGACTAGAGTGAGATGAAATCTTAGTTTTGATTTGCATTTCACTAATTGCTGGAGATGTTGACCATTTTTCATATGCTTGTTAATTGACAGTATATCTTTTGAGAAGTGTCTGTTCAGTTTCTTAGCCCATTTATTGATTGGGTTATTTATGTTTTTGGTGCTAAGTTTTTTGAGTTCTTTATATATCCTGGAGATTAGTGCTCTCTCTGATGTGTGTGTGGTAAAAATTTCCTCCCATTCTGTAGGCTCTCTCTTCATCTCACTGATTGTTTCTTTTGCTGACAAGAAGCTTTTTAGTTTGAATCCATCCCATTTATTGATTCTTGATTTTATTTCTTGCACTTTAGGAGTCTTATTCAGGAACTTGTGGCCTAATCCAACATGATGAAGATTTGGGCCTACTTTTTCTTCTTTTGGGCATAGGGTCTCTGGTCTAATTCCTAGGTCCTTTATCCACTTTGAGTTGAATTTTGTGCATGGTGAGAGATGAATTTCCAGTTTTCCCAGCACCATTTGTTGAAGAGGCTATCTTTTCTCCAGTATATGTTTTTGGTGCCTTTGTCTAGTATGAGATAACTGTTTTTATGTGGGTTTGTCTCTGTGTTCTCTATCTGTACCATTTGGTCTAACCAGTCTATTTTGGTGCCAATACAATGATGTTTTTGTTACTATTGCTCTGTAGTAGAGTTTAAGATCTGGTATTGTGATGCCACCTGCTTCACTCTTGCTAAGTATTGCTTTGGCTATTCTGTTCTCTTATTTTTCCAGATGAATTACATGATACCTTTTTCTATGAGGAATGTTATTGGAATTTTGATTGAAATTGCATTAAATCTGCATAGTGTTTTTGGTACTATGGTAATTTTACAATATTAATTCTGCCTATCCAAGAACAAGGTAGATCTTTCCATATTCTAAGATCTTCTTTAATTTCTTTCTGTAGCGTTCTATAGTTTTCATTATAGAGTTCTTTCACCTCTTTCATTAAGTTGATTCCCAAGTATTTTTTTTTTTTGAGGCCACTGTAAATGGAGTAGTTTTCCTAATTTCTCTTACCAAAAGAAAAAATAGTGTACCACAATCAAGTGAGGTTCATCTGAGGGATACAAGGTTGGTTTGACATAGAGAAATCACTAAATGTAATTCATCATCCCATCAATAGACTTAAAGATAAGAATTATATGATCATCATAATAGATGCAGAAAAAGCATTTGACAAAATACAGCACCCCTTCATTTCGAAACACTAGAAAAACTAGGGAAAATGGAAACATCTCAACATTGTAAAAGTTATCTATGCTAAGGCCAAGGCCAACATCATTCTAAATGGAGAAAAATTGAAAGCATTCCCTCTAAAAACTGGAACAGGACTGCCGTCTTTCACCACCTACATTTAACATAGTTTTTGAAACTCTAGCCAGAGCAATTAGAAAGACAAAAGAAATTAAAGGGATAAAAATAGGAAAAAAAGAACTCAAACTTTAACTTTTGGCTGACGACATGATTCTATACTTATAGGATCTGAAAAATTCCACCAGAAAACTTCTAGAACTAATAAATGAATTCAGTAAACTAGAAGGATATAAAATCAACACCCGTAAATCAAATGCATTTCTGTACATCAGTGTTGAATCCTCTGAAAGAGAAATTAGGAAAACTACCCTTTTTACAATAGCCTCAAAAAATGATATTTATCTTTAATCTCTTCATAACAAAAAGTCTATAGAGAATTGACAAGTACAAACATAGATTTGGTAATAACATAATAAATTCTCTCTAAAATCTTTAAATTTGTCTTATCTTTCTTCAGGTGTGCTCATCTTTTGCTACAGGCCCCAGACAAAATGATGGAACATTCTATGAGTTTTGTACCTATTCACTTAAACCCTCAAAGATGAATGAGTTCATGGAAAACATCAAGAAAAACATGCATCTTCGGACAGCTCACTCTGAATTGGTTGGATGTTGGAGTGTAGAATTTGGAGGCAGAATGAATAAAGTGTTTCACATTTGGAAGTATGGTAGGAGTCATTCCACTGAAGTGTTTGCTATAGATTTTCATTCTGTTCCATGTTTCATGAAATTTAGTTCTTAAATCTATATTTTAAAACTATATTTATAAATCTATATATTTATAGATATATACAGGTTAAGTAAAATCTTAATTTAAAAAGGAATACAGTACCAAAAAGTAAGTTCAGTGATTACTCTCACCAGTGGTCTACTTCTTGCTCAAAGTCTTATATTACCATAACTTGGAAAACATTAATTCTCATATATGAAATCATCAAATTATAAACTAGCTTTAACACTCAGAAAATTTAGAATGGTTTATTACAAAGATGGTTGATAAAAATTTTAAGGTGGGGTTTGAAAAAGCCCAAACGTGTTAAGATTATAAAAGGAAAGAGGAAGTCTAATAATTTAAAAATTTAGGGCTAGTAAGTAAATTTCGATTTAGAGAGGATCACAGATTTTAAACTTCATTCAACCATGAGATTTAATATTTCCATTATGTTTAGAGACCATTTTTTGTTTCATTTCTTACACCCCAGAGTTTCAAGGAATTTACTTTCATACTTCTCAAAAGGAAAAGGAATCAGTTCTTCCCATGTCACACTGACCTACCCCTGAGGAAGGAAAAGAAGTTTCAAGAGTCACCAGAATGTTTGTTTCTCCACAATCTAGTCTGTTAGGGTCACATCAGGACTTGTGGATATCCAAAGACCTGGTAATAATTTTATTTACAATTTGATCATCAGTGTCCAGATTAATATTCATAAATGTTTTATTATGAAAAATTCTACACTTAACTATGAAGTCCTGATCTACCTAATGAAGTCCTGATCTACCTCACATAAGCTGTGAGATAGGTATTATTCATTATCACCATCATAAACCATATAAAACTTTTACCATTAGTTTTACACATTGCTAAATTTTACACATTACCTCACTTAAGCTGTGAGATAGGGGTTATTCATTATCGCCATTATAAACCATATAAAACTCTTATCATTCGTCTTATAAGGTCTTCATAGTAAATACAGTACTAGGCCCATATGTGGGTAAACGTTGATACCTGTTGGAATAACTTAGAAGAAAAATAAGTGCTGGGGGGAAAATGGCTGGTAATAAGTAAGAGAATCAACACTATTTCTTTGAAGGCTCTTTGTTCAAAGGAGAAGAGACTCACCAAATACATTTTAATTTCATTTATTCTAATTTGATTCAAGGTTTATCTTAACCTGAGCACCTGCCATCACCAAAGAAAAGTCTTCTTTCTCTGAACTAGCACCATCACTTAAATGCCTCAACTGAATTAATTAATCCACAAATGTTGATATTAACTGGGTGCTAAACATTGTTCTAAGCTCTTTTTGTGTATTCAGTTAACCTTCACAACAATGTTATATTCTCTCCATTATACAGACTGAAAAACGGAATGCAGAAAGATACAGTAACTTACCTAATTCACACAAGCTTCTGCAAAGTCATAGAACCCATGAAGCCAATTCTGAGACATTTGTATTTCTATTCCCCTTAAGCCCATGAACAACTTGAGAACAGATGTCACATCTTTTTGTGTTGGTATCTCCAAAGGCATAACAATGTTCCTCTATGCTGCAGGTGAATGTTGTTTGGGTGAAATCCAGAGAAGCATAGATGATTTTAAGTTGTAAATGTTTCTTTTTTTTAATTCTTTTCTCCCATAGAGAATTTTGCTCATCGAACTGCAGTTCAGAAAGCCTTGGCTAAAGATAAGGAATGGCAAGAACAATTCCTCATTCCAAATTTGGCTCTCATTGAAAAGCAAGAGAGTGAGATTACTTACCTGGTGCCATGGTGCAAATTAGAAAAGCCTCCAAAAGAGGGTAAGTCACCTTCCTTCTTCACCACTTAGAATTTAGATGAATGAAATACTAAAGATCTTAAGTGATAAAAGGTAAAGTTCCACTGGCAAACAAGGAAGTTAATCCTTTGTTTTATGGGAACATACTGTGGTTATTAAGATGAAACTAAGTTGAACCTTCCAGCTTATGCTTAAAATGAGAATTAAATAATGAGGAATTTTTCCAAATTGAAATTTTACACATTGCTAAGTTTAGCTGTTACAGAAAAAGTCTACATAGTCAGTTAAAGTTGGGAAATTGAACATTAGAAGTAGGGACCACATGTGGGAAAATGAAGAATAATTTTAAGATAATATAAATATTTAAATAAGAATATTTTCCACAAAATATAATTAATCTTAAGTCATTAGTACACTTTTGCTTTATAAAATTAACTATTTGAGGGGGATGAATTAACTGAATCTACCAAGCTATATCACTATAGTTTTTGTGTCTAACTTTTGTGTCTTCCTCTTTCTTCTCAGTTTGAAAATAATTCCTTAAGATATATCTTCTTGCTGATTTCACTTCTTGATGATTTAAAGAAACTATTGCTTCAATCCAGTATTAAACCAAGGTCAGAATAGAAAAATCAATTTAGATTTATTTTATTCCCAACTCTATGTTTTTAGATTACACTACAAAGAAACTTGAAAAGAATTATTTAGATCCTACTTAGATCTGTCAGTACTATCTAGATAAAATAGTTGATTCCTCAGACAGTGTCTAACATTGGTTCTCTTCCTCTTTTTTATTAACATGAGTAATCTTTGCATGTTTTCCTGTACCTTTCAAATCTACTTGTCTCTAGTTCCTTTCTACCAGTCCTTTATTTCTGTCCAGAAGATAAAATACATTTCAACTACATACTTGGATATTTAGGGACAATGAAATCTCATTAGGTTTGTTTGGGGTTTTTTTCCTCCAAAATTCAGAGACATTACTTTATTTTCATTGTTTTCTATGTTCTTTCTGTTAGAAAAAGAGTCTTACAGGAGGGAGAAATATAAATGTAAAAAAGTATAAATTGGAAAGAAGAATGAAAATATAGGAGACATTGGAAAATTATTTTATTCTTTTCTGAAAGTATAGGCTTAGCTCAAAAATCCTATTTCATTATAAATTCTTAATATCTGTTTTATTAATAGATTTTTATATTAAAATATTTCAGATCATAGTTTATAAATTTATAACTCCAGACTTTTTATCATCTGCATGATAACCAAAGCAAAGAAAAATAATGCAAATACAATAAATATGTCTATGTAACCATATATGATCCTCTAAATCTGTATTTGTAGATTAGTTTTCCATGGAAACAAGACAGACATGATTAGAAAATGCTGGAATGTCGTCTGTAAAAAGTCCTTTTTCTTTCTATTTTAGGAGTCTATGAATTGGCTTCTTTTCAGATGAAACCTGGCGGCCCAGCGCTGTGGGGTGATGCATTTAAAAGGGCAGTTCATGCCCATGTAAATCTAGGCTATACAAAATTAGTTGGTGTTTTCCATGCAGAATATGGAGCACTCAACACAGGTATAGTTATCTGTTTCATCTATAAAATTTCAGTGGTGATCTACTAATAAGTTCCTTGGATAAGTTTCTCTCTCTCATACTATACATTTTATTTTTTATTGCCAAATTTTTGTATTTTTGTCAATTTTAAGGGTTGAAAAAACCTGTGTCACATCTTTTTATTTAGAATATTAACATCTTTATGAAGCCTTTTCAAACACAAAAATGCTATTTTCCTGATATCAAGATGATTAAATTTTAATAGGTGCCAGAATCTCAAGAAATATCCTATTCCTTTTAAATATTTTTTCTTCTGAATTTTTTTATTCATTTTTGAAATAGCATTTCTGGGGAGATTGTTTCTGAGTAAAAACATAATTTATTTATTCATTCATGTATTAATTTATTTATACTAAAGTTCCCCCATAAAAATTCACCCATTTCCCACTATATAAACATATTTGGGACATGTATTTATATACATGTATGTACATATCCATTGGTAAATTTGTAAATATAAATTTCTTTAATAAAATACATATTTGGAGTATTTAACTTTTAAATGTATTTTTTTGTGTGCATAGCCCTGGGGATTGAACCCAGGACCATGCACATGCTAGGCAATGCTCTACCACTGGACTATATCCCCATCCCAGAGTATTTTAACTTTTAAATTTGAAAGATATTACCATCAGAATTCAAGATTTTTTTTTTGACAAATTCTGAAAATACTGGTAAAGCTTATCTGAAAAGACAGATGACAAAGAATAGCTAGTAAATATTTGAAAGACTGATAATACACAGTTACCTTTTATCTTCTCTATTTTATGTACAATGGAAATCTGCTGAGCTTCCAACTCAACACAGAAAATTCATCTTCTAGTAATATAGTTAAATATCTCTTATCTGAAATGCATGGACCAGAAGTATGTCAGATTTTTGATTTTTGGATTAGGAATATTCAGCCTGTTTATCATAAGAAAATGGTCATAATATACAAAAACAGATGTATATTTGTTGGAAAATAATGGAGGAGAAAAATTATTATAAAAATTATACTATATTTTAAAATATCAAGACTTTAATAGATTTCATTGAAAAAATTTAATTCATAGAATTGCTAAAACTTTATGTAGATTAACTTATTTAAAAATATGAATGGGGACTATATTCCTAAGCTAAAAATGAAAACAAAAAATGAAGAAAAAAAATTGATGACTTTATTATAAAAAGGCTCAAACTCTCTATATGTGGTACAAATCATTATAAGTTAAATTCAAAAGCAAAAAGGAAATGAAAATTTATGTAAAGGTAGTAACACATATGACAAATATATATTAAAGAAGAGGCAGATCAAAAATAGTAAGCAGATATCACTTTTTACTTAATGTAGACTTGCTTATATGGGTATAATGTTAGGTCAGGAGTAAATAAGTACTCATATAATATAAAGGGTTCACATTAATCTTTCCTTCCCAAATTGGGCCATATAAATAAAAAATTATTTTCATTGTCTTTGGCAGTATTCTAGAAAATATGCAGGAGTGCATATATCTATAAGAGCTTTCAGTTATATACGAAAGAAATTTGAAAGTATATAGTCATATTTGAATGATGAGATTAAAGGTTACTGAAAGTCTTTTAATCTCTGATATTATGTATGTATAATCTTTATAACTTTTTTATTCTTTTTTTATTAGTTGTTCAAAACATTACAAAGTTCTTGACATATCATATTTCATACATTTGATTCAAGCAGATTATGAACTCCCATTTTTACCCTATATACATAATGCAGATTCACATTATAACTTTTTTATTCTTAAATTCATTTTCAGTGTCCTAGGAAAATGTGGCATGATGAGTGTAAATCAGTACAGCTTCTTTTTAGGTTTATCTTCCATTTTAGGAAGACAGTGTATAATACATATAATATATAGACAGTATAATATATACACTATTTGAAAATTTAAAATATATGTATATGTATATAAGATATACTCCTTGGATCTCTCACTTTACATTTTAGGAGATTTTGTTAAGGAAATAAACAGATACAAACAACCTGGATTTGAATCCCAGCACCATTGCTTAGTAATTTTGTGACCTTGGGTAAGTTATCCTCACTGGGCCTTAGTTTCCTCATCTATACAATGGTGATAGTAATAACCTACCATATAGAGTATTATGAGGACTAAATGAGTTAACACATGAAAAATGTTTAAAATCAAGCAAGGTATTACACATGTGAAATCCCAGCTATCAGGAGACCGAGCCAGGATAATTACAACTTCAAGGCCAGTCTGGGCAACTTAGCAAGATCCTATCTAAAAATAAAAATAAAAAGCACTACAAATATAATTCAGTGGTAGAGCACATGCTTAGCATGCCCAAGGGCCCACAGGTTCCATCACTAGAGACAAACACATTCCAGGCAATTAAATGTTCGTAGTAGTAGTCACCAACGTCATAATTATAGATATATACATAGGTGTGTTCAAATGAAATTTATGTAAATATTGTTTATATAATAAATAATGTGGTATGACCTTCTTTATGTAATATATTATGTGATATAGAAATATGCAATATATATTTGTAGTATAAAATATATGCATAGATATAAATATATGTATAGATATGTCTATAAATATTCATATATTTCATATACATAACAACATATATATAATATGTATAAGTATGGAAAGACATAAACCAAATATAAAACTAGTTATTTCTGGGTAGTACAGAAATGATTTCTAGCTTCTCTTTGTGTTTATCTGCATTTTTCTATACCTCTACTTTTTATTACATTGCAATTATTAAAAAAATGTATAAATAATTATGCACAAGAATATTTATTCCAGAATTTTATAGAATAGTGAAATATTGGAAATAACCTAAATGGCCAACAGTAAAGATTAGTATTAAAAGTTGCTGTGTATTATGAAGGAATCTATATCATCATTAAAAAATAATATTATTGCCACAGAAGATAATCACTGTTAATCTTAAAGAATCTGTTAGTAAGCATAAAATATACAATAGACCCTAAGTTAACTTTTAAAGGAAATGCCCTAGGGGTTTTCTCTAGGTAGTTAACATTATGCTATTTTTTGTTTTCCCATTTGTTTCATATAAATTTTCTATAATAAACACAATTTTTTATAACCTTGTTTTTTTGCAATAAAGTCAACTGTAGTGGGAAGTCATGAAATTTGAGTGTGTCTTTAACTGTCTTAGCTTACTTTCCTTTTCCAGCTTTCTGTTTTTACACCAAAAAAAAAAATGAGAGAGAGAGAGAGAGAGAGAGAAAGAGAGTTCGATTAATTCATGCATAAATTTCTTTCTCAAGTCTCTTGATTCCTTTCAAATCTTATCATCTAAATATTTACTTACTGACATTTTAATTTAAAATAATAGAATATTTTTTACTCAGTCTAATTTTAAGAATTATTCTTTTGCCCATGGCATTTTTGTCAATGTCATACTCTTTAGAAACAATTTTGGTTTATTTCTGCAGTTCATGTTCTGTGGTGGAATGAGAGTGCAGATAGTCGTGCAGCTGGGAGGCATCATTCCCATGAGGATCCCAGAGTCGTGGCAGCTGGTAAGCTATTTCACTAGGCATGGGTTATTTTTACAACAAACTTGATTTGCTCAATAACTTTATATGCTTTCTTATGAAATGTTTTTCCAGTTCGGGAAAGTGTCAACTACCTAGTGTCTCAGCAGAATATGCTTCTGATTCCTGCATCATTTTCACCATTGAAATAGTGTTCTACTGAAACACAAAAGATTTCATTAATTTCATTAATAAAATGTGTCTGCTAATGGTGCTTAAGTTCTCCCAAGAGAATTATTCTCACTTTTATTTTAAGGAGGTGATAAGTTAATTTACTATGTACCTTGCATTTTATGAAGCTCTCCCTTGTTTGTCACCACCACTTTAGGAAGTGAAGAGTTCATTTTGCCCATGGCATTTCAATATCTGTCACACATTAAAAATATCTACCATTTGGAAAATAATGTTATTTGGTCCTAAGATTAAAAATCTTTGAAGACTCTTTGGTTTACATGCTGAAATGCCTTCATTTATAATTAATTTTACTAATATTTACTTCATTTTGCATTCTACTTAAAAAAGATACTTGCCACTATTTCAAGATCTTGATTTTTCATTCATTTCAGAGGATGTCTTCTGTATGTTAACAAACCTTTATTCAAATACTAATGTTACGTTTCCATGCTTGAAACAATAGTTTTAAATTATTAATATACATTGTCAAACTTTTAATCGTGTCTGTTTTCCTGAGAGATTTTCCAAATTTTGGGCAAGTAAAGTTTATTTTGTAATATCAAATGGTATTCATGAGAATATTAAACATATTTATTTGTCATGGAAAAGTACATTATCATTTGTGTCATCTGTCATGAGAATATTAAACATATTTATTTGTCATGGAAAAGTACATTATCATTTGTGTCATCTGTGTTAATTATGGTCTCACATTAGCTCTATTGTCACTGACTTGGAAAATAAAATTATTAGGTCCTAGTATTTAAAGTCTTTGAAGATTCTTTGGTTTGTATGCTGAAATGTCTTCATTTATAATTAATTTTACAAATATTTACTTCATTTTGGATCCTACTTAACATAAGATGCTTGAGATATCTTTGTTTGAATGTGATCTTCATGGATATGGAAATGTTTGACCTAATAAAAGCCTACCTGTATATTCTGATTATTTTTCTAAGTTTTATATTTTTATCATCTCTGAAGCTTTTGCTTTAACAGTATGCTACCAAACCCAGGATGAGACTTCTTTAGTACTTCCACAGATGTGCTACAAATTTAGTTTTTGTTTTGAGTGCTTACATCTTAAAAGATATTTCATACTTCCAAGTCTCCTCATAGCCTGTATTTACAACTATATTATTTTAATTTTTATTGATTTTATTATGTTAATTTTTAACATGTATTAAAAATATAACATAATGAATTATGTCTGAGATAAAATTGAAAAACAGGAAGTATGTCACTTCTCATTGATTAAGCCCTCAGAAATCCAAAGGACAGATTAATTTCATAGTAAGGCAAAGAATACTCTTTGACTCTGGTGGTAAAAACCTATCAAAGACATTAGAGCCATTAGCTCTGAGTTATGTCTAAGAGTTTTCTTTCTTGACACTCCTTTGAAAAGACTTCACATAGGAAACTGGGTGGTGATGGTAGTATTAATTGCAGTCACTGTGGACAGACTTTATCTCTAATGTGAGACAAGCTCCTATATCCAAACCATTGGGGTCATGGAAGTGTACAACTGCCTCTGCCTTTCCCTTTTCCATACATCTTGAGATAAGTTTGAACACTTGCTGGTAAGAGCCAGTCATTCTTTGCTTATACACATACCAATTTATGGCCTTGATGGAGATTTATAGACAGGCAGTGTTATTAACATACACTCAAAATAGGAAGATAGCAGGCTTTACTCCACTGATGAACTTCAATCATCCCTGGCATGAGAGTAACTATAAGGGTATGCTTCTGTTCTGTCAAGAGTTCTATGGGTCCTGGACCTTGGGGAAATGGCACAAAGGAAAGCTGGGAAGCAATAATAGAGATAATTTTTGAGGCAGCCATGTAAGGTACTTCATTTTCCAGTGGGTATAAATTGACTTTAAGAATTATTCTTTTCCTTAGTCTTCCTTAGTTCCTGATGGTCCTTCAAAACCCAGAAGGAAAAGAAAGGATATAGGCAGTTTTGATACCTCTGTTATTCCAGTCCTTCTTGGCCCATGCCAAAGGCCTGAATACTTCTTGAGTCCCTAGGATCAACTGGAAGTCTGACTTTGGGGGAAAGAGTAAGTAGGAGATGAAAAGCATTCCTTGAATGATCCAAATTTAAAAAACCACCTTACAGATCAAAGTTTGACCAACTAGAAGCTTTTTCATTTAAAGTAATATTTGCATTATACATGACATATTTGTACATCATGCCTTTCTCTGAAATTCATGCTCATTATCACTCCAGCACATTCTTACCATCTAAAGTCATTGAGAACTACTAACCTAGAGACTCAGTTGACCAAGGTGTTGGGAAGAAAATAAAAAAAAAAGCATTCTAGAGCATCAGCTAAGTATTCACAGTGTACTATGATGTCTGGAAACTATAAGGCTGTTAAAAAAAATTTTCACAGTCAAAATAGGCTCAGTCGTCCTAGGACTCTCCTCATGAATCCATGTATTAGAGTCCATCTGTGAGAAAGGATCTAAAACACTTTATGTACATCATTTCACTTAATCCTAACAACAAAGTTTTATGAGCAACATTAATATTATATTTTATACAAACAAGAACTTTCAAAGGATAATGGGTTGTCTCTGGTCAAGCAACTAGTAAGTGGCAGAAGTCAAATTTGAATCCATACTTAGTTTCATTCTAGACCAGCCTGCCTCAAACTTTTAGCTGAAAATTGAATATTCACGATAGCTCTCGCCATCATGTCTAGTTAGGGATAACATTCTAACTTTGTAGAAACATCAAGCCATAATCTGACAATCCCCCCAAGGGGTGCACTATTTGTAGGCCTTCAACTCTTCTAATCAATGATGATAAAGCATGGGCTACAATTAGTAAAGAGTTACCTTTTGGCTATGATCTGCATATATGTCTTCACCAGGTAATCCGAGATGTTCCTTCCCGTCAGATTCTAAAGGACATCTGCAGTGTTCTTGTTTTCTCTGTCATCACATAAAAATCAAGCATATGTGTCTTATTAGACAAGAATTGGCACAGAAAACATATCAAGGGCTACAGTGACACATGTTCTTCCAACACATGCCATTATATGACTGGAGCCCTAACCACAGGGCCCAGGCATCACCCTCCACCAACCACCACCAAGATCTGGTCCATGCTTCCCTCAGTACTGGTCATTCATGTATAGCATGCCAAGATCTTCCTTGGGGAATTACTCTAAATAGCTAAAAAATAAGCACTGAGATGTGATTTTTCTTTACCAACAAGAGATGTTAAGGAGCAGAATTACAAACTATGCCTATTGATTTTTTGTGTTCATTGGGGTTGTACTGATGACTGGATTAGCAGTTATTTTAGGGTGGTAATCATGACTTCTCACATCCACTTAAAATTGCTTATTCTTACTCTACAACCTATATGCTGATAAAATTGCAGAGAGCAATCACAATCAATACCATTCCTGAAATTTTCAGGAAAAAAAAAATGTCTCAGATGTCCTTCCCAAAGTTAGAATATCAGAGAATGACAGAACTGATAAGGCCTACAAAAGTTTTCTGGTTCAGCCTCCCTAATCCAGAAGTGAAGAAAGAGGTCTATGTGGGCTGGGGATATAGCTCCCTTGCATGCACAAGGCCCTGTGTTCAATCCCCAGCACCACAAAAAAAAAAAAAAAAAAAAAGAGAAAGAGGCCTACGTGTTCAATTTCACCTGTAGAAGGCCCATAGCTAATTTGTGGTAGTTAGATGTTGGACCTGTGACAGTCTCCTATGGCTCCACCACTTTGAGACAGGCCATAACATGTCTTCCATAGCCCATTCATCCAGAGTATTTTGCTCGGATTTTAACTAAAACAAACCCATACTGATCTCAAGTACAGAAAAAAGTTAAGTTCCCTCACACAGAGGCACAGTGTGGTCCAAAACTCCTCCCCTCAAAGCTTACATGCTTTTTAAGATCACAGCTGAAACATGACATGATATTTCATTCATTCCTGATCACAAACAGAAACTACTAGCCCACCCCTCCATTTGCTCAGTTATACACTAAAACACTACAACCAAAGTCAACAAAATCATAGGTACAAATATCCTCAGAAAGAAGGAGTTTTTATATACAATGAACAACAGGGGATGCAGTAGGACTAGAGGTAATGAACTAAAAGGAGGAATAATGGGAAATGAGGAAGAGGGAGACAGAGGAGTCAGATGACACAGGCCTGTTCAATGTGCTAAAAATCTTCTGGAGAGTGACAAGACTCACTTCAGTTTTGAAAATGAGTACAGAACTGGAGGAAGAAAGGGGATGAGAGTGAGCTATAGTCTGAATGTCTGAATCTTAACCCCCAAAGTTGTGGGATTAGGGGGTGGGATATGTGGGGAGGTGATTAGGTCTTAACAGGATTAGTGCCCTTTTAAAGATGGACCCAGAGAGTACCTTGCCCATTACAACATGTAAGGATACAGCAAAGCAGCAAATATATAAAGAGCAGATCTTTACACCAGACCCCAAATCTGCCAGCATCCTGATCTTGGACTCTGCAGCCTCCAGAAGTGTGAGAATAAATGTTGTTTATAAACCACTCATCTTGTTGTGTGTTGTTAAAATAGCAGCCTGAGTGGACTAAGACACAGTGCTTGGTATAGGAAAGCTAGGTTGTTTAAAACACCCCAGGAGATTTTATCTCAGACTTAAGCTCTGAATTACTGAGAAAACATCAGCAAATCACTTGCCCTCTCTCTAGGCTTACTTTCTTCACTAGTAAAATTAAAATATGACTTATTTAATTGAGTTGTACCTATATCTCTTCCAGTTCCAGAATTCTATAAAGAGCCACAATATTTATGTTATTTTCATATGTATTGAATAATCCATCAAATGAATAATTTTGAAATTTGTTCTTTATTACTCTGCATTAAAAAAATGACAAAATCATGGAATTTGAAGGGAAATGGATGGCATTAGAGCAGATTATGCTAAGTGAAGCTAGCCAATCCCTAAAAAACAAATGCCAAATGTCTCCTTTGATATAAGGAGAACAACTAAGAAAAGAGCAGGGAGGAAGAGCATGAGAAGAAGATTAACATTAAACAGGGATGAGAGGTGGGAGGGAAAGGGAGAGAGAAGGGAAATTGCATGGAAATGGAAGGAGACCCTCATTGCTATACAAAATTACATATAAGAGGAAGTAAGGGGAAAGGGAAAAAAACAAGGGGGAGAAATGAATTACAGTAGATGGGTAGAGAGGGAAGATGGGAGGGGAAGGGAGGGAGGGAGGATAGTAGAGGATAGAAAAGGCAACAGAATACAACAGACACTAGTATGGCAATATGTAAAACAGTGGATGTGTAACCTATGTGATTCTGCAATCTGTATATGGGGTAAAAATGGGAGTATATAACCCACTTGAATCAAATGTATGAAATATGATATGTCAAGAACTATGTAATGTTTTGAACAACCATCAATAAAAATTAAAAAAAAATATAAAGTTCCTTAACTAAATAGAAAAGCCAAACTACTAACACAGTACCCTCTTGTAGTGCAAACTTTCAAAAGATGACTGGTGAGAAAAACTTAAATACCCATGGGCACGTCCTAGTCAGATTTCCCTCAATCCCAACACAGTTTCAAACACTTAACATTTGAATTTCATTCAAAGTTGTCAAGGCAGAGTCTCTTCCTTCATTTAGTCTCCAACACACATCAGTGGTGCTCTTCATTAACACAGGACTCTTCACATCAGGTGCAGTGTCTCTTTTGTCTTTGTACCCAGGAAGTTGAAAACATGCTATCACTGGACTCATAATTGCCTACCTATTCTCATGGTCTTTACTCAGTGATCTGACTTACATTCCCCCACCAACATACTTGGAATCCTGAGTCATCACTGAATTTATATAGGCCTTAAAAAGAGATTCTGATGGACAGTATAATAAAAATATGAAACTCTTAAGAAGAAATTGATTATTATAAAAAGTTAATGTATGATATTTTCAGGTTTCACGGGAAGAATTAAACAAAACTTCAGATTATATATAATGAAAG